ACTGTATCACTTTCATTTAACATATGTGAAAAATGACCCACAGAAAGGTTCAATGACTTGTTCAAGGCCACATAGTTATTCTGTGCTAGATTTTTGAAGCCTTCAAATGGCTCTTTAGTGAAGGAAACTGATGCTGAGGGAGGTGAAGTCATTTGTCCAAGAACCTATATCCAGTGAGTGTTGGTCTTGTAATGCAAACCCAGGCTCTGCCTGGTACCGAAGCCACACTCATAATCATCACTACATTGTTATGAATGAGAGCTATTAAAATAGAGAATATGTGCATATTTTTCTAGATTCAGCTCTGTAAGACAAAGCATTCCCTGGACTTAAGTGATGTTGACAGTGAGCATGTACTTCCTTGGTAATGCACCACCCAGTATAATGCAGCCAGGACATTTGTAGAAAGCCACATGGTGAAAGTAGCAACTGAGACAAACAGCTACTCAGGCAGGATGGCAATAGCTGAATTCTCATGTGAGTTTTTCACATGACTTCATGACAGCAGCCATATTTCATTCTTCCATGGAAAAATTTTTCCAAGTGAGAAAGCCCCTAAATCAGCTGTCCTTCTTCCCCTTGGCCTAAGATTTTCTAAAATGCTGTTCTGCTATCACTAGTCCAAGTTTGTAGACTTGTAAATGTTTTCCTAGGTGTGAAGTACAATGGAGCAAGGAGTGTGAGGCCAGGAAGAATAGCCTAATTGCTACCCCTTCAGGGCTGACTGGCTCTCCAGTGGGAACAGCATGTGGAGCAGGGAGAGGCAGGTGGTTGTATTGACAAAAACCCCTCACCTGTACTCCCTTGTCACTGCCAGAATTTTCATTAATAATTGATTTTTGAAATATAACTTGACACTAGTCTTCATATTTAGAATATGATTAATGTTTATTCAGATCATTATCATTCTTCATTCAAAAATGTAATTTACTGGGTTTTGATGTCTTTTTAACTTTAGTTCTGTTATACCCAAGGACCAGCCTATATATGTGTATGCACGTGTGTACATGCTATCTGATTTTATGTTTCTTTCCAGTTATGTTTTTCTGTGGTGAATAGCTGAATGGAAAAAGAATGAATAGAAATATTGTACATATAATGAACTATGCAAGAAGTATATTTTTATTATATATATATATATATATATATATATATATATATATATATATACACACACACACATACACACACTCTATGTCAAGAACTGTGTGGACTAAACAGTTATATAAGATCCCTGGCTGATATGGTACAGTGGTAAGAGCATCAGCCCATGCACCTAATTGTTACAGGTTCAATTCCCAGTCAAGTGCACATACCTGAGTTACAGGTTTGGTCCCTTCCTCCAGTTGGGGTGCCTGTGGGAGTCAACCAATTGATGTGTCTCTCTCACATCGATGTTTTTTTTTTTCTCTCTCTCTCTCCCTCTCTCTTCTCTTCCCTCTCTTCCCCCTTGCCCCTCCCTCCCTCCATTCCACTCTTTCTCAAAATCAATGGAAAAAGTATCCTTAGGTGAGGATTAACAAAAAAAGTGATATAAGATGTAATCTCTACTCTCAATGGGTTGATTCTATACTTCTTCCATTCAGCAAATGGTCATACTACCTGGGTTTCTAATTCCTTGGTGGATCCAATGCTTGGCTCATTTGTCTTTCATCAGCAGAGCAGCCTGGGAAGATCTTTAATCCCAACACAGTGAATTTGAATTTAAGGTTTTGACAGCCAGAAATGATAAGATAATAATAATGAACACAACACTAATAATAGTAAATAAAAACTGGAGAGAGAGGTAAGTGGAGACACATATAAAGATTCCCAAAAGGTGATATGTTCTAGAAAAAGTTGGGATATTTTCATGTCTCAGTGAAAATGGAAAAGAGCTTCAAGAGTCAACATTTCAACTAGAAGAGTGTCGGTTCTTTTGTGATAGGTGGGGGAAAGACTTATGGGAGAAAAATAAAAGGAATAAATTGTATTCCTTACCTTCCTTCCACACAGAAAGCTCTGTTTGATTTGATTGTGAATTCTGGGAGAGGAAGAGGTCCTGCTAATGTATTGAAGGGCAAGAGGAAGACAAATCACTAGTTTTTCAAAAAGCAGGGCACGTTGAAGGAAAGTTAGAGGTACTGATAGCCTCAACAGTGAATAAAGCGTTTTCTCTGGAAAAATATATGTCTGAAGTATTTAACTGGCATTAAATATTAACAGTGAACCAATGAAAACACCAAAACACTTTATTTATGTATGAAGTTTTTTTTTTGTTTTAGAAAATATGCTGTTTTAAAACTCAAAATCACTTCATAGGTAATCCAAGCAGAAAGTAGCCTGAGTCTCTGGAGGAGTGAGTACTATAAGAATAAGGAATAATGGATGTGACCTCCAACTGAGTCTCTTATATTACTCCCTGCCAACTCACCGTGGTGTGAAGGGTCCAAGTTTAAGAAATTCATGATCAGATAGATTTATAGGTATCAGATGTTCCCAGTGGAACCCAATATTCCTCCCTTCCCCAATACACATTTAGGAAAAGTGAGGAAAAGGAAAGCCATTTGTACCTGATTCTGATATCATGTGACTCCCTTCTCCACTTGGGAGCACTGATGGGGCGGGAGAGTACCTTCCACCTGGCATATCCTCTGAGTAGCTTTGTGAACTCCTTTGGACTATTATGTTGGTTTGTACTTTGGCTTCTTTGGCTCCCAGCACCAGCTGATGGCCTGAGCTGAGTCCCAGTTGGGCAGGCTCTTTTGCTCAGTGTTATAGCTATCTCCAGGGCATTGTTCTTGAGATTTTTAACAGGGCAGATTTGTGCAGTTGGCCCATCTGGACAAGATCTGTAACAAGCAGAGCTCTGTGCAATAAGCTCATCTCCATAGTCCACCCCCCACCACCCCCGCTTTCGGGCTGCAGCAGCCTGACACCCCAACCCTGCACAGAGAGTATCAAAGAGACACTCTTCTGCTTCTTTCAAAAGGGTATTGCTTGTGGCGTCTCATTGATTGGCACTACCTGGGCAGAAATGGGAAAACAGGGACTCTCTGCCCCTGAATTCAATCTCTTCCCTTAATCTGATCCTTCAGTTTTAAATCTCCTTGGCACCAGTCATAATATCGATAAGATTAACTTCTGGTCCAGCTCTCCTGGTCAGCTCAGAATGGTCTCTTCAAAATCAAGAGATGGGCAAGAGATGTATCTCAATAAACAGGAAAGAGTAGGCAAGATCAATAGAAAAAAAGGAGAGGGAGTGGGAAGCTGAGTTTTTGGTTTGAATATAGGATTTACTTTGGTTACTAGATTTATTGACTTTTAATTCCGAACACTATTTTGAGGAAGAGAGGAAGGAAAGAGGATGGAGAGAGGGGAGAAGGGAGGAAGGGAAAGGAAAGGGAGAGGGAGGGAGGGAGGGGGAGAGCGAGAGCGAGAGCGAGAGCGAGAGCGAGAGAGAGAGAGAGAGAGAGAGAGAGAGATTGGATTTACATAGTTATTCTAGGTCCAGGTAAAGGTCAAGATGTTTAAGAGATCATTTGATTACATGTGCCTTCCAACTGTTAGCTCTGCACTTTAATATTGCCTTTTTCATTCTCACCACAATTGGGTCATTTCAAAGGACTCAGTATACCAGGTCCATGTCATGTGGTATATCAGGCTCAACATGGACTCTTCTACACCCTCTCCATTCTGACATTTCTGGTATCTTCAAATGACTGCTAACCTTCCTCATTGTAGAAGGAAAAAGAAAGCAAGAGAAGGGTTAAGAAATAATTCCAATTTATGGCTTTCTAACTTCCATAGCTACTTCCCTAAGGTTGGCTAAGTCAGTGTTTGTCCAAAGATAGGGGTCCTCCCAGGCACCTCAAAGCCCACTTTATTCTGGAAAAGGTTGCATGAAGGAGGTAATGGGGAAAGTTGGAAATGAGGGGCTCTGGGAAATAGAGACTTTGGAGAAAACAACAAATGAAAAACTAGCCAATGAAAGACTCTCTGAGGACAGTTTCTCCTGGGTTCTACTACCTTGGATTTCACTTTTCTTAAAAGTTTTCTAACATCAGTGGGTAAGTTCCTTGAATAGTAAACATTTTTTTATACTCTCTAACAGCTTGCTAGTTAGGGGAAAACATATTTCGGAGACCAGGAAGTTCATGTAGGTCTGGAAGGATGGTGTTTCTGAAAGTCCAAAATTCCTGATCCCATTCTGACAGTGTTGAGCATCTTAGGAGATCTGAAGATCTCATTGGATTATATAGCAATGCCCTACCCCAGTACAGCCCATGACTGTTCCAACCTTGCTGAGCAGTGGAGAACCTGTCACCTTGCCTTCCTCCCACAGTCAAGAAAACCTGACTGGTTCACACAGGGCAGCACCTGCGGATGGGAAATGCTAATTACTTGAGCCTGTAGCAGGAGGAGGGGCAGAGGGCACAGTAAAGGCCAGGCTCTGGGTGGGAGATGGCAGAGCAAAGAGTGGTGCAGATTAAGATGATAAATGTTGGTATCTAGTAGCAGTGGTCTGAATAGTCTCCACTAGAGAAATGGAAAACAGAGAGGCTTCAGCAAGGGAAGGTCATCCCAGAGTACGTCCAAATTCACTTTCATGAGAAACAGGATAGCATGGAGAAAATCTGGATTAGAGTAGACAAACCATCTTGTGCAGCCACCGTTGGCATTATATAGTACATATAGACCCACATAGTTTTGGGATTGGCCAATGAAGTTCTGAGTGGCAGATCATGAAGAAACTGTTTAACCTCCTGATGGAATCTAATGGGGAAAGTCCATCCACGAGGAAGAAGGCGGCCAACATTTAGACTAGGGGTGTCGAACTCAATCAGAGAAGGGGCCAAAATCTAAAATCCAGCCTAAATCGCAGGCTGAATGGTTTACTGAACAGTCATAAACTGTCATTGTGATGGAAACGCAGCGGAGTGCAGTGATGACAGCGCGGTGCGGGCCACATTGCAAGGCCTGGCGGGACGGATTTGGCCCGCGGGCCTTGTGTTTGACACATGTGATTTAGACTCTCTAGTCCTGATCCTATTCCCAGTGCCTGGTGGTTATCTTCTGACCATAGCACTTTATAGACAACCCAGTAGAAGATGTTGAAGATGAAGAAAGTGAAAGGGAAGACAGCCCAAGAGATGGTATCAATCCTCTTGGCTTGGTCCACATGGAGTTTCCGCATGGTTTCTCTCTCCCTTGGAAGAGGGGCTGGAGGCTGGGGGCTATAAATGCTAGAACCTTCCATCGGACCTCCATCCCTTGCCTGCAGGAAGTGACCCAGGCCATAGCCATGGAAATGGAAGCGACTTTCTAGGATAATATCTTTCTCCTAGAATTACATAGAAAAGGCATAATGTGAGGACACAGCTAAGGCAGAAGGATAGAGAGCCGTCCATACAAATATCTCACGGGTGAGGTTATCCAGACAAGGTATCTAGACCACTGCTACTAGATCCCCACTGCTACTAGATCCCAACATTTATCATCATAATCTGCACCACTCTGCTCTGCCACCTCCCACCCACAGCCTGGTCTTTACTGTGCCCTCTGCCCCTCCTCCTATGACAGGCTCAAATAATAGCCTTTCCCATCCATAGACCCTTTTGCATGTTTTTTTTAATGGCCACAAAACTACTCATGAGATACATATATGCTAAGTATCAAATGGTATGTTATGATTTCATTTACAGATAAGCCCCAAGCTGCTTTAAAAAAAAAAAATGCATAACATCATTTAGAGCTATCTAAAAGCTAATAAAGTACCAACCCACTGTGGGAGGAACATTTCAATGTTATCTCTGACTGATAATAAACAGAGTAAACAAAAAATGATATCTTTAGAAAACACAGTTGAGATTTTAGACTTGGTGAACTTGAATTCAATGACTTTAAAGAGCTACAGAATTGCCGAAACCGGTTTGGCTCAGTGGATAGAGAGTCGGCCTGCGGACTGAAGGGTCCCAGGTTCGATTCCGGTCAAGGGCATGTACAGTGGTTGCGGGCACATCCCCAATAGGGGGTGTGCATGAGGCAGCTGGTCAATGTTTCTCTCTCATTGATGTTTCTAGCTCTCTATCCCTCTCCTTTCTTCTCTGTAAAAAATCAATAAAAATATATATTTTTTAAAAAGAGCTACAGAATTAATTCTCCATTTACATGGTTATCTTTTAAAAATTGTTTATCTCCACTCAAAGATGAAAATTCAAAAAATTTTAAATAACCTAGTGAGTTATCCAAATAAGGGTAAAGCTGATTACTATATTGCAGATACATGTAATCAGTACATCTAGGGTAACATTTCTTACCCAGTACACATTCCTTTCATCTATGCTACATGCATTATGACGAACACATTAACATTGAGGAAGTAAATTTTATATGAGTACTAGATAATGTAGCAGACTATACAAAGTTCATTTATCTAATCTTCAGCTGACAACTTTGCATGGCTATAACACAGATGAGAACCAGGAAGTAAGGACAGAATAGAGTTAGAAGTAAAGCTAGAGAGAAATAGAGAGATAGAGAATGGGAGAGATAGAGGAGAGAGGGGAAGAGGGAGAGAGTGTGTGTGTGAGAGAGAGTGCTAAAACCCCTGCTTGATCAATAGAGCTTTACTCATATAAGAGCCTTTCAGCCCCCCCACTCAGATCCTATTTACTCTTTGTTTATATACAACTCAAACATGTCTAATTTTGTCTACTTCTAAAGGACACATAACCATTCGAAATGATAGTTCACAGCTTGGAAATTAGATAGACGACAAGTAAATATATACCAGAACCTAGAAATACTTCACTCAAAGATGGGTTATAATTTTTAAGAGTATTGATGTTTACAAGAGTAAAAGCTTCAGCTAAGAAAACACCTGAAGTGAAATGCCCTCTTGTAGTTGGGATGATGCCAACTACTTTCTTGGTTTGCCCAGGACTGAAGGCTTCCTGAGACTGGAGACTTTCCATGCTAAAAACAGAATAAGAAATATGCTTGTTGAATGGATATGACATAGATATACATAAAATGTGAATAAAGTAGATTTTTACACATACTGTGCAATTAGAAGGACATCATAGGGTTCTTATAATGGGACCTCTGAAGTTGTGATAACATATTTAAACTGGTTTCATAGATGAAATGTTGGTCTGTTGGGTCCCAGTGACCTTTAATTATATCACTCGAAGGCCTAGCCTATCATTAGGCATCAGGGAAAGGCAAGTTCAAAGCAGAGATTCGACAACAGATCCCATGTCTTTCCTGCTTCCTGTGGGCTCATGGTACTAACTTGGGAAAAAGCATTAGTCCTGTTCACTGCTGTGTCCCCATGCCTAGCACAGTATCTGTCATCTAATAGGCATCCAGTAGATAGCAGTTGAATAAATGAATGATCTGATAAGCCACATGTTTCAGAATATAGGACAGGGAATGGATTTGTTCACCTGGAGCCAGATCTTACTCAGTTATGAAGTCCTTTCCAGAAAAAAAAATTACTCGTTGCCCCACCTCTGCACAATGTCCTCATGCTCTCAGCCTCTAGAAAGAGTAGTACCTTTAGCATAGGGGAGAATCTCTCTTAAGTCTGTCCACAAGAGAGCTGTGCTACCCAGTCATTGATTTTGTCAGGTTTTGTGGAGATAGTTGAATGAGTAGAAGGCCAGAGACAATTCACAACTGTGGTTTTGCTTTGGCCCTGAGTTGGTGCGGTGGGGCAACCTTAGCTCTCTGCTCAGTTATTTATATAACCTCAGTCACCAAAGTCCCTGGCTCACCTAACCTGTATTCTCAAATTCATTTCCATGTTATTCCTACATGAGAGATTGTGCTGGACCCATTTTAGAAATGAAGAACCAGAGGTAAACAAAATAACTTCCAAATAATTGAAAAATAAGGGGATAAATAAAATGATTTTTTTATTTTGCTTTCCAGTTCAAGTCCCTCATGTCCCCATTTCTCACTGCTCATCTTGATCCCCTCAGCCCCCCAGAAAGAAGATACAAAGCATGCACTGTATTTGTTCGCAAAAAAATCTGAAAGAGAATTGAATCCAATGGCTATTCCTGTTTTTATAGATCTACTTATTTTCCCCTTTCTCCAATCACAGTAAATTTAAAGGGAAATATTTCCAAAGCTACAAAATGCTATTTTACACAGGAGGAAAAAAATGTGACTAATATAGAGTAAGTGTTTCTTGGCTTTAAGAAATTTTTTAAAATGTATTACACCATTTGTAGTTGGGGGAGCAAAGATAAGTGACCTGAAATCCAAGGGTGGGAGTCCTGGATTTGGGTATTATCTATTTAGGCCCATTTCTGAGGTGTATGTTGGGAGGGATAATAGAGACTTAAACACCACATTATTGCTTTCACAATTATTGAAATAGAACATTTGTGTTGTAGGAGGGCTAGGGAACTAGAGAGGGAAGATATTCCAAAACCGACCTGGTAAGGGAATGCACAGTGTGGGAGGTGAGTTGTGGAAAGAGTGATAGGTATTGAATGACAGTATTGAAGTGAAGAGAAGAGACTGGAGAATGGAGGAGGGTTCTGGGCAAGGCACAGAGGCAAGCAGAATTCTGGGGCCAAACCCCTGAGAGGACTTGGCAATATTTTGAAATTCCTTCCATTTCTCAAGGTATCCTATTGATGATAGCAAGGCTTCCTCTCTCTCCAGCTTAAAAATAGCCTTCGCCAGTCAGCCTACAAAGGTTGGTGAACTGGATTAAATTGTACTGTGTCCAGATCCTGGTGCTAGGCCTCAGTGAGGTTATAAAAACAAGAGAGACAGACCCTTCCCTGTGACACTTAGACTAGTTGAGAAGACAAATCAGAAATGTATGGGAAAAGGGTAACCTACTTTAGACAGTGACATGGAAGAAGACCATCATGCAATGGAATTTGGTGTTGAGGAGAGATTCGAAAAGAACAATATTAAGCCTGGAGTCATGTGAACAGCTGGCTGGCTTCTAGAACACACCTAAAACTCTTTTGGCTATGGGTTCCCTGAAAAGCATATGGATTATCTTCCTTCCCTTAAAAGGGCTTCTCTCAGACTAAAGTCTGCTGCTTCTCCAGCAGAGTCCAGAGAGAGGTTCTAAAAATGGATAAACTCTGCATCAATTTTTCCAGCCATCTCAGTGACTTCCAGGATCCCTGCTACCATTCCTCTGGGATAGCAGTGGCTTTAGGAAACTCAAAGCGGGCCATGGACTAATGGTTTAGATTTTCAAGTTTTATTTACATTAATAGTAAGCACAATTTTCAGGCACGATCCATGAGCCTAAGAAGGGCCCAAGCTACTGTTGTAACTCATAATTGAGCACTGGTTATGACAGACTATTATGAAATCAGGATCCACCTATATACAACCAGGAGGGGATAGGCTGTGGGCAGTTCAGGGAAGGAGAGGTAAAGGGAAGGTGGTGGGGCTATTGTCAACCAGTAGCTCTACATTAACTGCAGCAGTCTTCTGTTGCTGGGATATCCACACAGGCAATTTAGCTGGCAAAGGAATCTGGAACTGTTTGGAAACCTACTCTTCTTTTTTTTTTTCCAAGGTAGGCATTGAGAAACCATCAAGATAAAAATTCCTATAACAATAGGATTTTGGTAACTGCAGGAAGGTTTGACTTAGCTAAAAAGGAGGCAGGGGCAGTTATATTACAAAATAGTGCATCCTCTTGCCCTTATGCCAAGTCTGTATATTTTTCTATCCTTCAGCATGGGATAGGAAGGGCTTATATGTCTGTTGAAGAATGGGTCTTACTCAAGGAGATGCAGTTATGAATCATTTCACTAGAGGGCGAAATTCCCAAGGCCCAATTAAAGGTTTAAAGCAGGGCAAGAATTGATAAATTCCTAAAAACCAATAGATGAGACAGGAGCCCTGCCTTCATCATGACATATGGTAAGGGTACCTCAGGAGCAGCTGGAGTGGGAGGCTGGGTGTTAAGAGGAGAGGAGCTTTAGTGCTAGAGTGTCTCCAGCAGGGGACTCAGAACATAATTTTTCTCCTCCCTTCCTTCTTCTTCCTCCCCAGAGATATGTGCTTGCCCCTCTGGCTTTTGAGGCCTATCCTAGGCAGAAAGCAATAAGTCAGAGCTTTAGACAGACAGGAACTCTGTGTGATGATCAAATGAACTGTTTGTAGATCAGCAAAGCTTTCAGCTTTGCTCACACATTGGCACTTGTTTCTGTGAGAGTGGCTAAGGTACCTCTGTTGCCATGATAATGTACCTAACACCTATAGTCTGGGCAATGGGGGTAAACTGCCTCCATTGTCATTACGACAAGATCCTTACTCCATTTCCCCAGGTGATCACTCTATTGTAGAAGATATGGGGTTAGCAAACAAGAGTAAGAGAGAACAATTCATATCCAACAACTCTGATGCATCCAATGAAGATTAAGACAAAGAAATCCAACAGCTAGAAGAGGCAAGTGATGGCTTCTCAATTCCAGCATAGCTACAAGGGCCCTTTTAAAATCCTCCCCTAAAAGGCACTAAGGCTGGACTCTTGAATTCTTTTGTTTGTGAATCCTCACCCAAAGATATTTTTCCATTTTTTATTTTATTTTATTTTATTTTATTTTATTTTATTTTATTTTATTTTATTTTATTTTATTATTGTTTTCAGAGAGAAAGGGAAAGGTAGAGAGAGATAGAAACATCAATGAAGAGAATCACTAATTGGCTGCCTCTTGTATGCTCCCTATTGGGGATCGAGCAAACAACCCAGGCACATGCCCCTGACCAGAATCAAACTCGGGACCCTTCAGTCTGCAGGCTGAAGTTCTATCCACTGAGCCAAACCAGCTAGGGCTTCCATTGATTTTTAAAGAGAGTAGAGGGGATTGAGAAGGGGGAAAGACAGAAAGAGAAAAACATTGATGTGAGAGAGACACATCAATTGGTTGCCTCCCACATGGAACAACTGACCAGGCCTGGGATCAAGCCTGCAACCGAGATACGTGCCCTTGACCAGAATTGAATCTGGCTCTCTTCAGTCCATGGGCCAACACTTGATCCACTGAGCCAAACCGGCTAGAACTATTATTGAATTCTTAATCAGTATATGACAACCTGGAGTACCTGTGTCTTGAGTGGAAGGAGAGCCAGGAACAACCATTACTAATTCTCAAAGCAATCTCATATGAATTAACTTGATAAGGTTCTAATACTTGCTAACATTTTTTTTTTCAGTGTTTATGTGCCCAGCTCTGTGCCCGTGCTCTTAATCACTCTAGCAGATTGCCTTATAGGCTTTGTGTTCCAATGGACAGATAAGGAAATGGAATTAAATGGGTTAAAGTACTTAATTTATCTGTGACCACCCGGGGACTAGAATCCAGGGTTTCTGATTGCCTGGCTAGTTCTTGCAGCCCTAGGTTTGGTCTAGTTTGCGGGAAGAGTGGTAGGGAGAAAGGAGTCCTGGAGAGAAAGTTGGCCCCTCCCTAATTATACACATCATGTGCCGGCACCTCTGCCTTCTTCGAAGACTTATAAATTCTTTATGCTGACAGGAGACAAAATTCACAGCAGCATAGTTCAACAGGGCAGCGAACACAAAGAGCAGGCACACGGCTGTCGACTGCCTTCACATAGGACACCTGTAACATCCATCAACAGAGCAGTCAACCTTTCTAGAGTTCTTCCATGGCCTAGCTAGTGGGTTGTCAGCCCATACCAACTACCTGCTGTTCTTCAGTTTTATCTTGAATTTTTTCTGGTTTTTAAAGAAGCTTTCTACCATATGTTCCATTGTCTGAAGTCCTTTGTCAGATTATCCTTCACCTCTCTACACTGTCCAACTGTCACTTCCATCTGCCTTTCCTCCCTATACCTCTCTCCCTCCCTTCGTTCCTTCCTTCCTTCTTTCCTTCCTTCTTTCCTTCCTTCCTTCCTTCCTTCCTTCCTTCCTTCCTTCCTTCCTTCCTTCCTTCCTTCCTTCCTTCCTTCCTTTTGTACTTCTACTTCTGATTCTAATTATTCTTTTTATTCTTTTTTTTTTAAATATATTTTATTGATTTTACACAGAGAGGAACTGAGAGGGACAGAGAGTTAGAAACGTCGATGAGAGAGAAACATCGACCAGCTGCCTCCTGCACACCCCCCACTGGGGATGTGCCCGCAACCAATGTACATGCCCTTGACTGGAATCGAACCTGGGACCCTTCAGTCCGCAGGCCGACGCTCTATCCACTGAGCCAAACTGGTCCCGGCTATTCTTTTTATTCTTATCTTCTGATTCTTTTGTTGTTGTTGTTAGTTTATTTTATTTTTTTTTTTTAATATATTTTTATTGATTTCTTTTACAGAGAGGAAGGGAGAGAGCTAGAGAGCTAGAAATGTCGACGAGAGAGAAACATCGACCAGCTGCCTCTCGCACACCCCCTACCAGGGATGTGCCCACAACCAACGTACATGCCCCCGACCGGAATCGAACTGGGACCTTTCAGTCCACAGACCGATGCTCTACCACTGAGCCAAACCGGTTTCGGCATTGTTGTTAGTTTAAACCTTACCCAATAATATTTTTTCCCCATTGATTTTTAGAGAGAGTAGAAGGGAGGGAGGGGAGAGAGAGAGAGGAAGAAACATCAATGTGAGAGAAACATAGATTGGTTGTCTCCTGCATGCACCCTGAATGGAGCTTTGGATCAAATCTACAACTCAGGTTTCTGGGAATCGAACTTGTGACATTTTGTTGTGTAGGCTGATGCTCTAACCACTGAACACTGACAAAGGCATTTTCTGAGTCTTTTCTTTCAATAAGTAGCAACTAACATGAGTGTTGCATTTGTTGGACCTTTTCTTCCTCCCCCTTTTATGTGCCAGAGTTCTCACAGCCATGGTGGTAATTGGTCAGGGTTGTTTATTCCCCTATGAGACATGTGAGAACACTTGAGGCCTAAGAGAAAAAGTCTTAGCCAAGATCACCCAGTGAGAAGGCATAATCTTGGGGTTAGGGGTTCTGAGCTTTTGATCCGGTGCCATTTACCTAGGCCAAAGTCTCAATATAATATTAGGAGTTCCTCCCTTTTCCTTCTCCACCCCTGTTCTTCCCTTGATCCTGTGGTTTTTTTCTCCAGCTCTTTGTGAGAGTCCCCTGCTAAGGAATTGAGCTCAGTGGCAAGTTGGGGCCTCATATCCCACACGGGAGAGCAGAACAGGGAAGGAATCCTAAGAGAGTGCTACCCACTCGTGGCTATGGAAATGTCTCTGAGTTTCCATACCCTATCCAGTCCTTAGTGCTATCTTCTCACTACTTGCCTTGGAAACCCTTAAGTACTTTTCTCTGTTGTTTCCCTTGTGAATATTGAATAGTCATTTCTGGAACAGAGTTATGGCTGAGTGGGACCAAGAGAAGGTTCAGAACTCAAGTTTATGAAGTCAGACTTGTAAAGGTTTACCTCCTCAACTAGATGACTCCGTACATAGTTTTGAGCAACTGAGCTTGGCCTAGAGGGGTCCCTAGCAAGAACAGAATTGATGACAGACAACTTCTTTTACCAGCTTCTGCTTTGTTGGACAGTGAAGGTACTGCTGACTCCAGGTAAGGAATAGGTCTCACCGGATAAACCTTTCATCGTCGTGGTTTTTAAGATGGGCATTTGGCAATATTTGGAAACAGTTTTGGTTGTACAATTTTGGGGTTGGTGGTGGCTACTGGCATATAGTGGGTAGAGGCCAGGGACACTACTAAACATCATACAATGCAAGGGTTTCTCTACTCTGCATCCCCTTCACACACACACACACACACACACACACACCAAGGAATTATCTGGTCGAAAATGGCAAGGTTGCTAAGGTTGAGAAACCCTGTTGCCTCTTTTAGAGGCATTCCACTGAGGCAGGTGATAGTGGCTAATTAAGCATTCTTTTATTTCCATTTTGCCACCTACTATTTAGAGGGCATCCTCTTTAATTCTCTATCTCCAAGCCCCATTGTGCCCCCAGGGATGTCTCGTAACTGCTGCAAAGATTAACAATGAGGTAATGATAAGCGAGGTCTGTAAAGGGCGTTGGATCGTCAAAAGGAAAGGACACTTTAAGCAGCAGGAAGTGTCTTGTTAAGGATGAGTTTGTCATAGTATATCTTAAATATCTCTGGAATACATCCACTCACTATCCTAGCTCATCTCGAAGGACTGCAACAATTTTCTAAATGGTCTCCCTGCATCTATGCTTGCCATCTCCAATCTGTTCCCAAAACAGTAGCTAGAGTTTTGTTTTCAAAATGAATATGTGATTATATCACTCCCCTGCTACCAACCATTCATTAGCTCTTCAGTACCCTTACAATACAGTCTATACCTTCCCATACTGTAACATCTTAGTTACCTCTGCCTACTTCTTCAGTTCCATCTTGCCCCTTGCAATCTATGATTCTGCCATGGTGAACTATTTCAGTAGTTTCCCCCAGGATACAGTATCTTCCTGTCTCTCTTACCTTAATAACTTTTACTTAGGAAAGGCTTACCATATCCTTTGGGAAGCCTTTCCTAAACATTCCTGTCAGGATTGGTTGCCTCTGCTCTATGTGCCCAGGTTACTTACAATTTCTTAGCATCCGTCAAATACAACTGGCCAATTTCCTTCACTAGACTGAACTCTTGGATGGCAGGGACTATTTCTATCATATGCACTGTTCAATCTCAGTGCCTAGCTGAGTACCTGGCACATAGTAAATATTTTTTGAAAGAATGGATGGATGGACGAATGAGTGGATGGTTTAGCAATGTATTTTTCTGTACTGGCTTCTGTTTCCTGTTTTTGCCCTCCCCAAGAACTATGGGCCATTTAGACTGTAGGATCTTGAGAGAATTAAAGATCTCCAACTGCTGTGGCTTTAGGTCTAATCTTTCAGTCCCTGGTAGAATATTCCATTTAGCCTTTCCATTCTACACTGAGCCACCTGGCATTGTATATGTTAAGAATGGCAAGGAGACAGAGATCAATGCTGTTGGGACTCCCATATGGCAATGAAGACGTGGTTTCCTGGGCACATGAGGAATGACTATTCCAGCTGAGTTCCTTCACAATGTGAGCCTCTGCTTCTCTCATCCTGCACACTAGAGTTGTACTGGGGTGGGATTGGTGTGGTTTTCAGAAGCCCCTGACTTGGCTCCACCTCTTTCCTTGGGGCTTCTACCAAATTTAATGTTGCATACACAAGAATGAGCAGAAGCTCTCTGATTTACTCAGTCCCTTGTTCTGTGGGGCTGGTCAGTGAAACTATTTTGTTTGGGGTACATGCCTTCATATTTCGCTTACTGGATAATAGGCCAACAAAAAGGTCATCAAAACCTACTGAGAGGGCAAGACAGAATAAGTTAGAGAAGAATCTCTTTGTATGGCAGTGGCAATAAACTAGGACAGGGTTTTTAGGTCTGTACTACTTTTCTGCCTCTGATCTTCATGCAAGGCCATTAGCACAAAATGGTCATAATAGCCCCTTCTTAACACCCCTGACCATTTAGAAAACATAATCATAGGAAAATATCTCTGACAATATCCCCTGGGACACTTGATACTAATTTGAACTTTGTCACCAATTATCCCTAAAGGTGTTGGACCACCTCAAATATTTCCTGGTATCTTAAAAATAATTGGGATCGGAGGAATGAAGATGGCGGCGTTAGGTAAACACTCCTAAACGGCCACCGGGCACAAGTCCAACAAACAAACAAACTATAAAACAAACGTCTATGTTCCAAAAACCAAACGAAAGCTGGTTGAGAGGAAGCCCTACATCTAGACTGAAAGAGAAAGAGGAGAATCCAGGGTACAAGCACTGAAAAACTGAGGGGGGGGGGGGGGGCGAGGACGTGATAAGGGCTGGCTGTGCATCCAGGCTGGCAGAGGGCAGTGCTTTCTTCAACCTGAAGAGAGGCAAGCGCCCGATCTCTCTGAAATCCAGTTTCTGGGGAGAGGCTAGACTGTCTGCCATCAGGTCAGAAAGTGAGGCTGGTTTGCTTGCAGAGCTGAGATTGTTTACTGTGCTGTGGGGAGACGCGGGGACGCCATCAGAAAGGTGGTAGACGGACGACAGCCATCGCTGTGGGCCACGCCCCAGCCTAGTGATATCCTGAGACTCCGCCCCTCACAACACATCCAAGCTACAAGCAGCAGACTTTGCATATGAACGGCCCTCTCTGTTGCAGTTTAGCAAAATTGCAAACAGATCCAAGGAGGACAGGACTGTATTTCACACTGTAGCTTCTACGACAGTACTGGCCTCAGACAGTAGCTGAACGGTACCTCATTGAGACTCAGAAACCAGAGTTCTAGTGCTCAGTTTCAATCCCTCACACCATAAGTAACACATTAGGGAGACGGTCTCAGCACCAAAGCCCCACTGAAACAAGGTGTGTCTCCAGCACAGCAGTTCTTCCTTTATAGACACAGCGGATCCTCACGGACAATTGACCTGGAGGTCAATTCCTCCCAGTGTACCAACAGCAACCAAGGCCCACAAAGGGATATAGCAAAAGCGACCACCTCAAGATTTGGAGAAGCTGAGCTACTGACCCCTATAGGTCACCGACCACACAAAGCCACTCTATCAACATAGGGAGTCAGCCAAAATGAGGAAACACAGAAGCATGACATGAATGGGAGAGGTTGAGGAGAGTAAACTAAACGGTGACACACAGTTCAGAATCACATTTATAAGATTACTCAAGAATCTTCTAAAAACCTTTGAGAAACTTGATGAGACCTCCAAGAAGCTTGGTGAGACCTTCAAGGACCTTAACGAGAATACCAAAAAAATGGAAAAGGACCAGCCAGAAATTAAGCATATACAGTTTAAAATAAAGAATATACAGAAACTCAACTTAGATAAACATGCCCTAAGAATCAAACCAAAGAACTGGAATATAAGAAAGCAAAAATCTAACCAGAGAGGCAGAAAGAAAGAAGAACCCAAAAGTGTGAGGATAGTGTAAGGAGCCTCTGGGACGGCTTAAAACATACCAACATCTGGATTTTTGGGGTGCCAGAAGAAGAGAGCGAGCAGAATATTGACGGCTTAATGGAAGAAATAATGACAGAAAACTTTCCCTATCTGGTGAAAGAAATAGACCTACAAGTTCAGGAAGCACACAGGACCCCAAATAGGAGGAATCCAAAGAGGAATACACCAAGACACATCATAATTAAGATGCCAAGAGCAAAAGACAAATAGAAAATCTTATAAGCAGCAAGAGAACAACAACTAGTTACCTACAAGAGAGCACCCAAATGACTGTCAGCTGATTTCTCAACAAAAACTATACAGGCCAGAAGGGAGTGGCAAGAAATATTCAAAATTATGAACAACAAGGACCTACAACCAAGATTACTCTACCCAGCAAAGCTATCATTCAGAATTGAAGATCACATAAAGAGCTTCACAGACAAGAAAAAGTTAAAGGAGTTCATCAACACCAAACCAGGATTACATGAAATGTTGAAGGGTATTCTTTAAGAAGAGGAGGAAGAAGAAAAAGGTAAAGGTAAAAAATTATGAACAATAAAAAGGCATCAAATACATACCTACCAATAAGCAAATCTAAAAATCAAGAGAATAAAAAAAAAATCTGAAGAACAAAATGGACTGGTGAATATAATAGAATCAGGAACATAGAAAGGGATTGGACTAACAGTTCACAGGGGGAAAGGGGTTTGAGGGGTGCGGGAAGAGATTGGACAAAAATCTTACTTCTGTGGATGAAGACAGTGGTGGGGGTAAGGGTGTTGGGTGGGGTTGGGAATCAGGTGGAGGGGAGCCAAGAGCGGGGCTTAATGGAAGAAATAATGACAGAAAACTTTCCCTATCTGGTGAAAGAAATAGACCTACAAGAAATAGACCTACAAGGAGGGCCGTGGGAGGGGAGAGGAACACCTGTAATAATCTGAACAATAAAGATTTATTTAAATAATAAATAAATAAATAAATAAATAAATAAATAATTGGGATCATGACCAGCTGCTTTAGCTCTAGGTCTACCACTCAGTTATTTCTACCCTGACACCTAATAATTACAATAATACCCTGTTTCCCCGAAAATAAGACAGTGTCTTATATTAATTTTTTCTCCCAAAGTTGCACTAGGTCTTATTATCAGGGGATGTCTTATCTTTCCATGCACTATGTCTTATTTTTGGAGGATATCTTATTTTTGGGGAAACACGGTAGCTAGCATTTATTGAATGGTTACTATTTGCCAAACACTCTTCTGTGTTAATACATTGTCTTACTATTTTTTTGTAATAACCCTCTAGAAGAGGTAATATTCTTTTTTCACCCTTGTTTTTGTAAGAGGTAATATTTTTATTCCCACATTACAGGAGAGGAGATTGAAAGGTTTATAAATTTTCCTAAGGTTACAATTAGTAAATGATAAGACTGGAACTTAAGCCTAAATATGCCTGACTCTAATCTCTTTCTCTTAACCACTACTCGCCCTCATTTAGCAAATTGGTAAATTTACTAGGGATATCCAGATTACCCCTGTTTAAGTCTCAGTAAACTTCTTAGGAATGAGCACTAGGAGATGAGAAATCACAGGTCCTGGTTCCCATCAAATCAGAACAAGAGGGAATATGTTCATTGTAAAATTCACAAGGAACTTTGTTGTTTTTGCTTCCCAGAATTTCTCTGTGGCCTAGTACAGTGCCTGCTACATAGTATATGTTCAGTAAATATTTATAGAATGGGTGGTTTTTCTCCCTGTTTTTTTCCCCAGAGACTTGTTGACCATAGGACCTTGAGGTGACCTCTAAATTCCATACATGAAGACACCAGGCAGGGAGAACCTAGCCTAGTCCCATCAGCACAAATATTTTAGCATAATCAAAACATCACCAGGCCCCAGATGAGAAAAGTCCACTGACTTGAATCACTATTTTCTACCTCAACTTTTTCTCACCCCAAAGGAACAGACATTGTCTCTAGAGCTCTTTGTAATAGTGTCTTGTTTCTGACACAGTAAGAGACAGCTGATGGTTTAAAATGCTTATATTTCTTTGTTTCTTGTGGGCCATGACCTTGAGAAGGTCATTCTTTATGGGCTGTATTATCCTCATCTGTATCATGGGGGAGTGAAATTTTCTACTTGCTAAGGTCTTTTCATCTTAGACATGGTAGTATTTCCTGGTGAAAGTCAAAGTCAATCAGGCACTGTCTCTACCTGTTCCCTAGCCAAACAGCATCCATGACCCCAGCTTCCACACTGATAGCCATATGTTATAGGGGAAGAGAATGCAGCCACTTACTCTTGCTCAATGGCTCTTCTCTACCTTAAATCCAAGGATAATAGTGAGCAGGTGGGATTTGAGATGAATGAGAAACAGGGAGTTCTATGGCAAGCAAGTTTTATTGCATGTCTCTTCACCTTTGGCAAAGAGGCTCGGGAGCCAGAGCTCTGAGTGGTCATGGTGCGCACGGTGGTGATGCCTAGGCCCACATGGGCAGGTGCAGCATCCATGTTGATCCAGAAGGAAACCCAGGACAGGATGACGTTGAGTAGGCTGGGGATGTACATCTGAATCAGATAGTAACCCATCTGCCATTCCAGGTGAAACTTTACCTCTATGCAGGTGAATTTCCCTGCAAGAAAGAGGTGAGGTATGAGGCTCTTGTCCCCAACCTCAGCTGAGCCTGAGAGGCAGGACTATGGCAGTCTTATCTCTGAGGGCTAGCCTCTGGGTTCCTCAGCTGGACCAATAAATGAGTCTTCAAAATGGTCCCAGGGAGGGCCAAATGTGTTCTGAGGAAGCTCTCAGAGCAGTCATCAAGGACTTGACATCCTGCTCCCAGCATTTTAGTTTTCAGCAGAAGGCCTTCCACATGATATCACTACAAGAGGATTAAGAGCAGAAGGACTCAGATCAATGGACTAGAATAGAGAACCCAGAAATCGATCAAAACCACTATGCCTGGTGTTCTGGAAAAAGATGGCGACTAGCAGGATGGAGCTGAGAGAGAGGAAGTGAGTAAGGGTATGAAAGGAGTGTGTGTGGAAGTGCATGGGGTGTGTATGAGTGAGGGGAAGTTAAATCACGCAGGAGCAGCAGGAGCTGGATGACAGCCTCCCCTGGACAAGGAGAGACTGTCACAGCTGCTGGCATTCCCTGGACCATGGGACTTCAACACCGAGCCCACACCATCTTGAATGGCCTTTTTTTAGAAACCAGCATCACCAACAAGATAGGCTTTGGAACTGCCCCGCAACTCAGCACATACTCTAGCCAATATTTTGCTACCCCAGCTGCAGACCCGTGGACACTGGGATTGTGACCTCCAAGGACACACCATTCTGCAGCTGTAAGTAAAACTACCGTATTTTTCGGACCATAAGACGCTCCGGACCATAAGACACACCAGTTTTTAGAGAAGGGAAATGAAGAAAAAAAGATTCTGAAACAAATAGTGTCCTAAAATATTTTATGTGCATTAAAACCCAATATCACAGTCATAAACACATGTAATCAACCCTGTAAAGTAAACAGCAGCATTTAGAACCATTTTAGAGCCGGGCAAGCACACAGAGACCACACAGAGCCGGGCAAGTAAAAAAACTTTTTTTTTAAAGTATATGTGTAGGCTATATTTGGACCATAAGACGCAGGGACTTTCCCCCCCACTTCTGGGGGGGAAAAAGTGCGTCTTATGGTCCGAAAAATACGGTACCCCTCCTCAACAGCCGAACCTCGGATTCATGCGATCCCGGAACTCTTCACTAGCCAGACATCTCCAGGCATGGCATACTTGCGCATGACCCCAGAACTCTTAACGTGGCAATCCAGGGCCGTCTCCAGGCAGTGCGTGTTTGTGCACAAACCCAGAACTCTTTACTTTGCTAGCTAGCCGGACATCTGAAGGCAGTGCGCCTTTGTGTGTGAACCTGAAACACTTTACTGGGCTCGCTAGGCATCTCCAAGTCCGCGCACTAGCACGCAAGCCCGAAACTTTACTTGTGGGGTGTCTCCTTCAGCGGCACGGGGGAGAAGCCAAAAACACCCAAGGGTGTGTTTCTGGGCAGACGGGCGCGCACGCGTTCCCCGTTCCATAGGCAGGCCTGAACAATCTACTCCTGCTAGCGGCTATCTCCTTAGATAGTGCTTGGGAGAGGGAGAAAGCACCCGAGGGTGTGTTTCTGTGCAGGCTGGGGCACATGCATTCATCATCACAAAGACAGGCCTGAACACCTTACTCCTGCTAGTGGGTGTCTCCTTGGGCGGTAATGGGGAGAAGCCGAAAACACCCAAGGGTGTGTTTCAGTGCAGACAGGTGCATACGCGTTCCCCGTCCCATAGGCAAGCCTGAGCACTTTATTCCCGCTTGTGGGCATCTCCTTGGGTGGCAGTAGGGAGTTGCTGAAAGCACCCAAAGGTGTGTTTCTGTGCAGACTGTCGCGCGGCCCCACAGTGGAAATTCTGAATTCCCTCTTCCTGGAGGGTAGCCACATTCACCCTAGCTGCTAATTAGCAGCTAGGGTTAATGTGGCAAGTATATCGAAGTTCTGCACCCTGAGAGCTCGACATCCTGACAGCCTGGCACACCAAGCACAACTAACCACAGGGTGCTAGTGGGAGCCACTGAGCGCTCCTCTTTGGGGTGATCTTGAACAAGCAGGGAGCACACTCCTCTCCAGCAGTAGAGGCTTTGTATTCACTTAGTCTGGATACCGTCCACAGGCACCTCAATTGCACGGCTACACTGCCAGAGCCCTTCAGAGTCCTTTAGTGTGCCCACTGATAAACGCACTGAGGGTGCTCCTGTGAACTGCTGATGGAAATAAGCACCTATCCACCACAGGTGAAACAGCATAAGCTGGGTCTTCCCACCCCACAACTGCAGAACCCTGGGCAACATAGTCACGCCTTTCTAAAAAGCAGGTCACCTGCGCCTCAACACCCCAAACAGACGGTTCCTGGGGCCCACTGTGAGTCCCTGCAGGGCAAGTGTGATTACAATTAAGGGTGCAGGAAAGCAAAAATTGGACACTCCCCCTAAACAGTGGCTGACCCCTAGACACCACAGTTGTGCCTCTCAAGCTCGCAGGCCTACACCAAAGGAACCCAAATAGCTCAAGTAGGGAGCTACACTAGATTAATAAACACAGGAAAACAGAGATTACATGAGTAGCACCATCCCAAAAAAAACCTGGGCAGCAAAGCAATTGTATCTATAATTAAAGCATTACAGGAAAACATGGGAAGACAAAAATGTAATCCCCAAAAGAAAGAAAGGGAATCACCAGAAAGGGAGTTAAATGAATTTGAGGCTAGCAGCTTATTAGAGACAGAATTCAGGGTAATGGTTATAAGGATGTTTACACAGATAGAGGACAAATGCACACAACTCAATGAGAATTACAAGGAGCTGAATGAGAATGTCACTAACATGAAAAAAAACCAAGAGGAGATGAAGAACAACATAGCTGCAATAAAAAACACAACAGAAGGCTTAAAAAGTAGACTAGAAGAGGCTGAGGACCACATCAGCGAAGTAGAAGACAAGGTAGTAAAAAACACACAAACACAGCAGCAACTGGAAAGAAGACTTGAAAAGCAAGAGGAGAGCCTAAGGGAGCTGTGGGACAACACAAAATGAAACAATATTAAAATAATAGGGATACAAGAAGTAGAAGAAGAGAAGGAAAGAATAGAGAACCTCCTGGAAGAAACAATGACAGAAAACTTCCCAGATATTGGCAAGAAAAAACCTATCCAAGTCCAAGTAGTACATAGAGTCCCAAACAAGTTGAACCCCAAAAGACCGACACCAAGACACATCATAATTAAATTGGCGAACACCAATGATAAAGCAAGAATTCTAAAGGCTGCAAGAGAAAGACAGAAAGTTCCGTACAAAGGATCTCCTATTACAATAGAATATCAACTGATTTCTCAACAGAAACACACCAGGCCAGGAGGGAAAGGAATGAAATATACAAAGTGATGCAAAACAAGGGACTGAACCCAAGAATACTATACCCAGCAAGGCTATCATTCAAAATTGAAGGTGGAATCAGAAGCTTCACAGACAAAAAAGCGCTAAGAGAGTTTATCACTACTAAGCCAGCAATGCAAGAAATGTTAAGGGACTGCTGTAAAAAGAAGATAGAGAAAGACAAGGAGAAAAACACTAAGGGTAAATATGACAACAAACAGGTACTTAACAATAGTAACATTAAACGTAAATGGATTAAATGCACCAGTTAAAAGACATAGAATAGCTGAATGGATAAGAAAACGTGACCCTATATCTGCTGTCTACAAGAAACCCACCTTAGAGCAAAGGATTCACACAGACTGAGAGTGAAGGGATGGAAAAACATTTTTAAGGCAAACGGAAATGAGAAAAAGCTGGGGATGAGATACTTATATCAGATAAAATAGACCTCAAAGTAAAGGCCGTAACAAGAGATAAGGCAGGCCACTACATAATACTAAAGGGAGCAATTCAGCAAGAAGATATAACTCTGGTAAACATATATGCACCCAATGCAGGAGCACTGAAATACATAAAAAATGTCCTAGAAGATATCAAGGGAGAGATTGACATCAATAAAATCATAGTAGGGGACTTTAATACACCACTGACATCAATGGACAAAAAAATCCTCTGGACAAAAAATCAGCAAAAAAACAGCAATCCTAAATGACATACTAGACCAGATGGACCTAATTGACATCTTCAGAGAATTTCACCCCAAAGCCAATGACTACAAGTTCTTCTCAAGTGCTCATGGAACATTCTCAAAAATAGACCACATATTGGATAACAAGCAATGTCTCCCCAAATTCAAAAAGATCGAAATCATATCAAGCATTTTCTCAGATCACAATGGCATAATATTAGAAATAAACTACAATAAAAAATATTCCAAAAAATTCAAACACCTGGAAACTGAATAGCATGCTACTAAACAATGATTGGGTTATCAATGAGATCAAAGAAGAAATTGAAAACATCCTGGAGACTAAGGACAATAAAAACACAACATTGCAAATCCTATGGGACACAATGAAGGCAGTCCTGAGAGGAAAGTATATAGCTCTACAGGTCTACCTCAAAAAACAACAAAAAGGGTTAATAAATAATCTAACTCAACAATTAGAATCAAAGAATTAGGAGAGCAACAAGAAAAGCCCACGGTGAACAGAAGGAAGGAAATAATAAAGATCAGAGCAGAAATGAATGACATAGAGACCAAAGAAACAATACAAAAGATCAATAAAACCAAGAGTTGGTTCTTTGAAAAGATAAACAAGATTGATAAACCTCTAGCCAGGCTCACCAAAAAGCAAAGAGAGAGGACCCAAATAAACAAAATCAGAAATGAAAGAGATGAAATAACAGACCCCACAGAAATACAAAGGATTGTTATAAAATACTATGAACAACTGTATTCCAATAAACTAGACAACCTGGAAAAAATGGACAGATTCCTAGAAAAATACAACCTTCCAAAACATACTCAAGAAGATACTAAAAATCTCAATAGGCAGATAACTATGAATGAAATTGAAGCAGTCATCAAAAAGCTTCCAGCAGAAAAAAGCCTAGGGCCAGATGGCTTCACAGGGGAGTTTTACCAAACATTCAAGGAAGAATTAAAACCTATCCTCCTCTGACTATTCCAGAAAATTCAAGAGGAAGGAACACTTCCAAACTCCTTCTATGAAGCCAGCATCACCCTAATACCAAAACCAGATAAAGATGACACAATGAAAGAGAATTAAAAGTCAATATTCCTCATGAACATAGATGCCAAAATCCTCAACTAAATTCTAGCAAATCGGATCCAGCAGTACATAAGAAAGATCATGCACCATGACCAAGTAGGATTTATCCTGGGGATGCAAGGCTGGTACAATATTTGCAAATCAATAAACGTGATACATCACTTAAACAAATTGAGAGATAAAAATCACATAGTCATATCTATTGATGCAGAAAAAGCATTTGACAAAATCCAACACCCTTTCTTGATAAAAACTCTCAGCAAGGTAGGAATAGAAGGATCATACCTCAACATAATAAAAGCCAAATATGACAAACCCACAGCCAACATCATACACAATGGGCAAAAACTAAAACCATTTCCTCTAAGAACAGGAACAAGACAGCGATGCCCACTCTCAACACTCCTGTTCAACATAGTGCTGGAAGTACTAGCCATAGCGATCAGACAAGAAGAAGAAATACAATAAAAGGCATCCAAATTGTAAAAGAAGAAGTAAAGCTGTCCTTATTTGCAGATGAGATAATATTGTATATTAAAAACCCAAAAGTCTGCATAAAAAAAACTAATAGACTTAATAAATGAATTTGACAATGTAGCAGGATACAAAATTAATGCCATGAAATCTATGGCATTTCTATACATCAATAATGAACTTACAGAAAGGAAGACTATAAAAGCAACCCCATTTACCATTGCACCAAAAAAAAAAAAAAAAAATACTTAGGAATAAACTTAACTAAGGAGGTAAAAGACCTATACATAGAAAACTACATGACACTGAAAAAAGATATAGAGGAAGATGTAAACAGATGGAAGAACATACCATGTTCATGGATTAGCAGAATCAACATAATCAAAATGTCCATACTACTGAAAGCAATCTATAGATTAAATGCACTCATTAAAATATCAACAGCATATTTCACAGACCTAGAAAGAACACGCCAAAAGTTCATCTGGAATAAAAAAAGACCCTGAATAGCCACAGCAATCCTGAGAAAGAAGAATAAAGTAGGAGGGATCTCAATACCAGATTTCAAGCTGTATTACAAAGCCACTGTTCTCAAAACAGCCTGGTACTGGCACAAGAACAGACAGACCAATGGAATAGAAAAGAGAATCCAGAAATCAACCCAAATCTCTATGCTCAATTAATATTTCAAAAAGGAGGCATGAACATATTTTACAATGGAGTCAAGACAGTCTCTTCAACAAATGGTGCTGGGAAAATTGGACAGATACATGCAAAAAAATGAAACTAGACCTTCATCTTACACCATACACAAAAATAAACTCAAAGTAGATAAAGGACTTAAACATAAGATGGGAAACCATAAAAATACTAGAGGAATCCACAGGCAGGAAAATCTCAGACACTTGCTGAAAGAACTTCTTCACTGATACTGCTCCTAGGGCAATGGAAGCTGAAAAGAAAATAAACAAATGAAACTACATAAAAATAAAAAGCTTTTTCACAGCAAGGGAAACCATCAATAAAAACAAGAAACCCCACTACATGGGAGAACATATTTGCCAAAGATATCAATGATAAGGGTTTAATCTCCAAAATTTACAGAGAACTCATACAACTTAACAAAAAGAAGATAAACAACCCAATGAAAAAATGGGCAACTGAGCTAAATAGACACTTTTAGAAAGAAGACAGAAGGCCAAGAGACATATGAAAACATGCTCAAAGTCATTAATCATCAGAGAGATGCAAATCAAAACAACAATGTGGTACCATCTTACACCAGTCAGAATGGTTATCATCAACCAATCAGCAAACAACAAGTGTTGGTGAGGATGTGAAGAAAAAGGAACTCTTTTACACTGCTGGTGGGAATGCAGACTGGTGCAGCCACTGTGGTGAACAGTATGGAGTTTCCTTAAAAAACTAAAAATGGAACTCCCATTTGACCCCATGATCCCACTTCTAGGAATATATCCTAAGAAACTAGAAACATGAATCAGAAAGGATATATGCACCCCTATGTTTATAGCAGCTCAATTCACTATAGCTAAGATCTGGAAACAGCCTAAATACCTGTCAGCAGATGAATGGATTAAAAAACTGTGGTACATCTACTCAATGGAATACTATGCTGCAGTAAAAAAGAAAGTTCCTACCATTTGCAGCAACATGGATGGAGATGGAGAGCATTATGCTAAGTGAAATAAGCCAGGCAGAGAAAGATAAACATCACATGATCTCACTCATTTATGGAATATAATGAACGGCATAGAGTCTATAGACTGATGAACACCTGAGAATGCCTTTACTGCCATGCTAGCAGTCATCAGCTGTATGGTAATATAACCTGGGTCTATTGGGTAAATATTTCTGGACTTATGTTTCTAATCCTTCATGGGTGTGAGCCCTTACCTGGGCTGGCCTCCTGCCCGAAGTAGTCAATGATACCAAACACCTTGGTCATCCAGGAGAACCACAGGTGGGACAAGGAAGTATAATTACATAGGGGTCACCACGCAGCTGCCCTTCTGTATGACACAAAATTAAACTACTGCTCCTTTGTGTGTAAAATTAAAGAGAGGTTTCTGGCTTGTGAGGACACCAAAGGAAGGGACTATCACTACTTCCTCTTGGGAGAGGTGTAGAAAATGTAACAAAGACCTTTTCTATGCAAAAAGAAATTGACAGACAGTTTAAATGGAATTTCCATGGCCTAGAGCACATGTGTCAAACACAAGGCCCGTGGGCCAAATCCGTCCCGCCAGGCCTTGCAATGTGGCCCGCACCGAGCTGTCATCACTGCACTCCGCTGCGTTTCCATCACAATGACAGTTTATGACTGTTCAGTAAACCATTCGGCCCGCGATTTAGGCTGGATTTTAGATTTTGGCCCCTTCTCTGATTGAGTTCGACACCCCTAGCCTAGAGCAAAGATTATCCTTAGATGATATTATTCTACAAGATCATTATAATTTTTCCCAGACTTGGGTTATCCCCATTACCTATAATAGTACCTCGCACCACAGGATATCAATAAAAAAATCATTTATTTTATATATATACATACATTTGGTGGTGGTGCTTGGAGACAAAGGTAACACATCTCTAGATATTTTAGAGTTATAACAGCATATTGTGCAATTATCCCAAACAAACTTACAAACCAATCCTTTGAATGTCTGGCAGCAATTTAAAAATGACATGAAAGGACTTTATCCCTACCATTGTTCAGAGGGCCCCCTGAGAAGGCACCTGAGCATTCTATTGATATATTGGCCGGTCTTGCCCTTTTGGCCAAAAATGACCCTCTTCATGGTCCAGGTGCCCACAACTGTTGCCTGACCTTTCAGTTCATGCTGAGGCTGAAGCACCATGGTGGCTGGTACCATGCATTTCTCTCCTGCCCAGTGGGGTGAGCTGGGCCCTCTCTGGAGAAGAAGCATGGGTTCCCAAAAATATGAGATCAGCGCCAGGCCTCACCAGTAGGTGAGGGGTTCCCGAGGCAGGTGCTGGGTGTGGAGCCCATGAGGGCATAAGCTACCAAGGAGACAGAACTAAACCTCACATCACCCTGCTTGGCCCTGGAGGATGGCTGGTTAGCCAGAGACGGGTAAGATTCCTCAGGGAAGAAACAACCTATGACAGGCACAGTCGCAGAAGGGCCATCAGAAGAGAACTTGGGGTTCAACAGAGGTGGGGCACAGACACTTACCACACACACACACACACCGCACCGTGGCAGGCGCCTGAACCTTCTCCCTTTCTGAGGGAGGTCTCCTGCCCCCATGGCTGCTTCGCTTCCCATGCACAGCTCAAATTGGGACCCAGGTAACAGACAGAGACTTGGCTGACAGCAGCTGCCCTCTCACTGCAACAAGACTTGTTTGAGAGGGCTTGTACCCATGGTGTGGGCAAGAGGGTTTTTAATATCTAAATCCAGCCTAGTAGCAGGAATGCTCAGGTCCTTCTCAAGAAGGCAAATAATCAATTCCACTAATACACACATGGTAAATAAGATTGTTGCTAGAGTGTTGAGTTTGACAGTTGAATAATAGCCAATTTCTTAGAGGAAATTAATGTGGCTAATGGAAATAAATGAATACTCTAGAAAAATTGATTGTACTATACAAAAAGCTGTTCCTGCCATCACCACTGCACCAGACCTAGTGCTAGCTCCTCCATTGCTGCACCGTGAGGTTCTGGGTCCCAGTCTCCTTTGAGCCAGCGGGCTCTTCTTTCCCAATAAATCTATACACGCACTAGTGATGGATACAACAATAAAAATAGCTAAAGTACCATACTAAATGTTTTGCTGACCTCATCTATTAATAGTTTAGTTCTCACATCAGTACTCTCAATAAGTACTATTGTTACCCCCATTATATAGATAATGAAACTGAATACCAGCAAGGTGAAGCCACTTGTTCACAATCAGAGAGCTAGTAAATGGTAAAGTTAAAACTCAAACCCAGAGCTATTGACTTCAGAACTAAGTATAGTGATGCAAGCAGGTCAGGGTGGGCTGCCCAGGAACCAGAGTGGGAGAATACCAGTGGCAGCTGTACCCTGACCACCTAAAATCCTGCCTCCTTGAATCCCCTGAGTGGGAGGAAGCCCTTACCCTGACACAGAGGCCACCTTTGTCCCAAGCAGAGGCTGTGAGAGCAGGTGGCCTAAGGAGACTGAACATCCGAGACGGCTGGTGGTGGTGCAGGAGTAAGCAGAAGTCCATGGCTTCACACCAGGTTGTTTACACAAGCCAGGTGCTGCTTTTGGTCACCAGCCACCTGCCTGCTGGCAGGCTTCAGGGCCCTGCACATGGAGTAGCCAGACCCTTGCCACCCTCATCAGCCCCATTCTCAAGTCACCTTTCCTACTAGCTCCAGCACCAAGACCCTGGCACAAGCCTTGGTATTCACTGTCTTGGGCTCCAATCATTGTTTTTGCCCCTTTATTCTGGGGTTACCTTGTCTGTGGACCTGAGAGCAGAGTCACTATGTGTAGCCATTCCTTCCTCCCTTTCATCCCTGGGAAGATCCAAATGGCAGATGGGGAAGGTTCAGAGTTGAAAATCTTGCTCACGCAATGCCCTGCAGTGGAGTAAGAAGAGAACTCTGATCTGCTCCTGGGTTTCTGAGTGACCTTGGACAGGTCATATCCCCTCTCTAAGCCTTGGTTTCCATATGTACAACAAAGGAGTTAGACTCAAGACTTCCTAAGGGTCTGCCTTTCTTCAATTACTCAAGTAGGAATGCTGCCACTGAAGCTTGGGCCTTGAGGTAGCCTCCCCTCCCCTCCAGAAGGTTCAGCAATGCCCAGATGGGTGCCCACTTCTACCTCGTCCTCCTATCAACTCCAACTTAGTTGCCATTCCAAATTGGGCTGTTTTTCACTCTTAAGAAATTTACCCTCGCCGAAACTGATTTCGTTCAGTGGATAGAGCATTGTCCTGCGGACTGAAAGGTCCCAGGTTTGATTCTGGGCAAGGGCATGTACCTTGGTTGCGGGCACATCCCCAGTGGGGGATGTGCAAGAGGCAGCTGATTGATGTTTCTCTCTCATTGATGTTTCTAGCTCTCTCTCTCTCTCTTCCTCTCTATAAAAAAATCAATAAAATATATTTAAAAAAAAAAGAAGAAAGAAATTTACCCTCTTCCCCCCACCCCACCCCTGCCATATTGCATCCCTGTCTTCCAGCCAGCCAACATGTCTGCAAGCAGTAAGGCAGGAGGCTCCTCAGAGGCAAGCAGTCCTGGTGTGTTTCTTGAATTAAGAGAAGGAAGATAGTACTGAAGTGGCCCTCACTGCCCCCCCACCCCACCTACACTTTGGGAGGGACTGTTCTTATGACCAATTCAGCCCAAGCCATAACCATCTTTCTTCCTAAGCACACCCTGTTCACTTAGACTGTCTCCTGGTCTAATGAGAAGTGGGAATGGGTTGGGGGACATTTATAGGGAACCTAAAACATGTCCCGCTCCAAAGCCAGGGAATGACTTACACTTAGTGCCCATCCAGTGACAGTGAGCAGCCATGTGCACACAGGCAGGGTGACTGCAGAAAGTCAAGGTTTGGTCAGTCTAGATTCATTACAATGTTATTTGGGACAAACCCCTGCTACTCGAAGTCTCTTGGGTGGGCAGCTAGCAGATGTTGGTGTCATTTTTAGGGATCTGAGCAGTGTAGGGGGATAGGACAGATGGCCTCTGTTCTGTGGCTTAGCTACCTAGCCCCTCCCCAGGCCCAGAAAACTCCCACCCATGCAGAAACCTTCTTAGCTCCAGAGCCTTTACCCACTTCATGAAAGGCTCCTGGGTCCTGATTGGGGGGGTGTGTGTCCTCCCATGAAGCCCTCCAGAATGTGGGGTTTTTGCAAACTTAGAAAAAACTGTGACAAATGCCCCTGCTGCTCCCGGCTTCTTACCCCCACTCAGCTCACCTGAGGAGGACCTGCCCTGGCAGGATCCAGAGGAAAAGGAAGGAGAGGGTTTCAGGAACTTAAGTTGTCGTTCTGCAGGGACCCTGGAGAACCCTTTCTCGGCCTGGTTGCCAAGGTGAAAGGGGATATCCTGAGGGGACTGCCAAAAGTACAGAGCTTTCCTCCAGCTTAGTCAGCTCACAAGGAGCCTGCAGGGCCAGGCTAGTCGTTGTTCTTTCCTCTCTCTCTCTCTCTCTCTCTCTCTCTCTCTCTCTCTCTCTCTCTCTCTCTCTCTATATATATATATATATATATATATATATATATATATATATATATATATATATATATATATATATATCTTCTGCTCTCCTTTCCTTTCCTCTGCCCTGCTATTAATAGTCAGAGGCCGGAACAATTTCCCTAGAAATGATCTTGACATAAATAACCCTATCAGCTCCTCCTCTGGCTCACCTAGAGCCTGGACTCGACTCCGTGAGGGCAGCTGGTGACGGGAGCTGAGAGAGATTTTCTCCAGTCTCCAAATCCTAGAGAGTCTTGGAAGGGAGAAAGGAGGGAAACTGGGAGAAAAATGTTTCCCTTCCTCCTACCTTCCCCCAGATGCACCCTCTGAAAGCAGCAATTTAAAGATACAGTCGCTGGTAGTTGGAGTAGGTTTTGGAGCTCATCAGTATGCTAGGGAGGGGCTGGGGCTACAATACCCCTTGGAGAGGGCCCCGAGGGGTTCTGTCCAGCTTCTAACTCTCCAACTGGAGGAGTGTATGCAGGCTGCCCTGCTTTTTGCTCCTCAGCAGCTTCCCTTTTACCCTGGAGCTATGCTGGGGCCCATACTGTACAGTCTTAATGATTTTTATAAAGGAGGAAAAGATCTGAGAGTGTTTAGGTGGAGGAGTCACTTGGTATTCTCAAGCTGACAACTTCATGTCTGAGAGAAGGATAGGAGGAGGCAGGGGTGGCTTTTTCCTCAATGCCCTGGGTGGAGGCACAAGGGATGGAGGGTACAGAACTTTGGAGTCATTCACAAA